TTTCTGGAAAGCTCTATGAAATGAATGGAGCAATAGCCTTACCTATAAATCCTCATATATAGAGCTTCAATTTAATATTAGCACATGTCTTCTTTCTAAATATTTTATTTGAGAAAGTTTTATTTGATCAGTCTTCGTATTTCCATTGACAAAACTTTTCGCGAGTACTCGCTGAGCGGGCTAACCCTTCAGACCAGACGAATAACCAAATCGAATAGATTTATTCCCAGTACAGTCAATTAGTGCAAGGTTTTACTTTAGAATAGGCAACTAGTCAACCATCATTAAATTAGTGGGTCCCTATTGAGCATGCCAACGATAACACTACAATAGCAGCACCAGGGGTAGCATATATCAGAGTCCACAAACAGGTTCACAACGACAAGCAAACTTGAATAAAAGCCACTTGAATGGCACCAGCAGTGGATCTCACAACAAATCACACCGAACACCTGAGAATGAGTATCAGTAGCCGTGCCAAAAAGTAAGATTTGCAAAATTCGGGCCTAAAACAGGAGCAAGATGACTGTCATGGGGTGTAAGAAGGGAAAGTGACGTTTGAGGTCATGGTAAGAAACTTTGGAAGTACCGGTTTTCAGAGGATTAACTTGAGTTATTTTAGGTTTGGTAACTCCAAAAGATGTAAAGATAGGGTAATAGCAAATGAAAATTTAATTTCCACAAATATAGAGTTAAATTCACTATCTAATCTTTCAAACCATTGTAGTTCTATGTGCTCGTTAATCTCTCTTTGCTTTTAAACAAATTTTAATAAGTTGCAGTTAAATTTCAATATCAATTTGCACAATCTGATGTAGCAATTCAACAGTCACCTTCAAAATAAATCTTTAATCGCTTAAACTGATCTTAACTACTTCAATCCGGTAAGGTCATAACAATTCACCTTTCAACCCCTCACCCACTCCCCCCCCCCTCATAAATGCTATATTGACACTTATTAATGGGGCTCTCCCTATCCTCTCTCTCTCCCCCCATTTCTCTCAGCAAGAATTTAAATTAATATAGGAGGAAGTATTTTTGTCACAGTTACAGTATGTACATACAAATGCAATTTTCATTGGTGATTTGCATGGCCAGGCACGATAGAATTGGCACAAGTTGTTCTCTCCACATAACGACTTCTGATAGGCAGATGAAATTGTGACATTACCGCTCTAATGGCGATATGCTTGAGTATAACTCGTGATATTTTATTCCATTTCTTTGATATTGAGTCACATTTAAGACACTACCACCGTCTATGCATCGCATACCAATATCATTTAATCATTGTTATCAAATTACATGTTGAGTGACAATGGCAGTTTCAAGAGCCCCAATGCTCTGTCCACTTTGTCAGTCTGAAGGATAATTTTTACTTCCATCCGAATTATAATAGCGAAAGAGTACTCTTCTCCCATCATTGTGATGGAAATTAAATAATTTATAAGTCTGATTAAAATGCATTAATTACTGCCAATGGAATTCCTTAGTCTCATTTTTTTACGTTATAAGCAAACATCTTAACCGTATTAATGCCGGGAAGCTCGCATTTGATGTACTAGTCTCCTCTCCTTTTGAAGCAAAATTTGAACTCTAGTTACCATTCTATACCTCTGTGAGCAGTCAATGCGCTCACAAACTCTCCTATTGTACGAAAGGATGAAAGGTTTAATGATCTATATGTAAGTTAAAGGAAATTTGCCCTACAAAAATTTAAACTTCCTTCTAAAAATATGTAACAGTACCCTTGAATGAGGCCGAGAAAGCCTCTGGGGCGGATGTTTATGGCACGCGCTCGACCGTAAAATCAATACGTATGGTAATCAAAGCCCCACAAAATTATTAATGTTGATTGCAAGGCTGTAACTCAACTGAGCGGAAAATTATGCCTCAGGTGAAAATTGCTTGAAGATGGAATGGGAAGTGCGAGGAAGGAGGGCGGGGGGAGGCTATCATAAATTTGGGAAATTGAGTAGAAGAGGTTCCTTTATTGAGGGAATATTCCGTCAAATTAAAATTCAAGTCCTCAATAGCACTTAGCCCAGAAGTAAGAGACACCGAAATTTGGTAATTTGCTCTCTTATCACTATCGATAGCTAACTTTTCATTTGCTTTAATTCTCAAGACCACTGAATGATCTTTCCATAACCATAGAGAAGTAATTTAATAGGCCATATGTGAAATTTCAAGCCAAATTAAAGAAAGGGTAAATATGATTGTCTTGAATAGAGTTTAGGCATATTCAGGTCGTTCTTACGAGAAACGCGTTCCCTCTATTCTATTTCGCTTATCACGATCAAAAGGCGCGCTTGATCATCCATATGACATGAGGGGAACTGATGAGCATCGACACTGTGACCTCCTGCTTGGCATACGCACGGTAATTGGGAAACTAGTATTCTTTCAGTCCACAACAGGCAAGTCTATTCTTCTATGAGTTTTTTGAACGCACAGTCAGAGGAATGTCACCATTGTCTGTAAAATTGCAGAAATAGAATTTCAACCCCAATAACAGAGCTATGGACAGCAATTTAGGCTAGTTGCTTTACGGCGTACAAATGATCTCAATTTTTATTCAAATAACTCCATTCCATCAGAGCGCTCATGAGAAAAATTACCAAAGGCAATTTTTTAATCATGTAAGTGAACTTAATATATTGAAGTAAATCCTAACTTTAAAACGTTTCGTAATTATTAATCGCCCTTTATCGAGCAACCGTTGCTCTACCGTTGTACAAATTAAACAGCTTATTTTGTTTTAAAATTCTCTTCAGGGTTTAAAATTTTGATTTTTAAACAATGCGGTGAAATATAAAATATGAAAAGTTCTTTAAAGAAAGGCATATATTTCTCTTGAATCTCTTTGTCTATTGCTTGTTCAAGATATTCATATACCAATTAGAAATTCTCCATCGATTGCTACAAATATTTGTACTTCGGGTGAAGTAAGCATTATTAGATACCAAAAGCGACCGATTTTAACTTCAAGAGTCTCGCATGGAATAAACCAGAAAACCCGTTTTTCTAAATCCATGAGCGTAGAAGATAAGGCGTTATTTCCTTCAAACAAATAAAACTTCACGTTCATAAAAGTTCAAAGATCTCCTCTTATCAAAGTCCACATTATTGTCGTTCAGTGAGAGAGCAACTTTGCGACCGCAATATTTTGCAAAGCAAAATTGAAGGATTTGAATCCTAAAGAAACTTTATTTTTGGCTATTGTTTAAACTATAATTAGAAACTTCTGAAAATGAAATAGATACCACAATAAGTTAATCCAGCACCAATTAACTTAATTGGGCCAATTTAGCTGATTTGTATAGCAAAATTATAAATTGCAAGAATGCCCTTATATTAGCATTATGTAATCAAACAAGTCTTAAAGCTAAGTGCAAATGAATGCTCGTCAGACCAACGTTTAGCCAATAGGAATAGGATTCAACCCACAACGTTGGAAACGAAGGCTCACCATTGGTTAGTAGATTTAGCCAATCAGATCATTAAATGTGAACAGCGCTCCATCAAACTTGCCACTCTGATTGGTTGTCCAATGACACAATCTCACGCGGTCAGTGCTAACCACGAAATAATCAGAAAATTACTAGATATTGCGTTTATTTAACCGGCTCGTTCTCTCTGGTCTGGTGATCCATTATCTCTCCATAGCATCGCCCACTGGTGACATAACGCCGTTTGTGGATTATGCTACCACGTCAATAGTGGCCAATCTACTTTATTCTACTTATTAGGGATTACCTACTTCTTTCTTGTCCAGTTAAAATGCATTTCTCGCGGATTTATTTAACCCTCCTATTGACCAGTGTATATCTAACTAATTTTACTCAATCAGTCGAAGGTGAGTTATATCTTTTTTTTCATTGGAAGAATTATTTATTTCTGTGAGCCAAGCTCACATTTTGCATAAATTTCTCACTGTTTTCTGGTGTACTGTAGTGAGTCAACTAAATAATCTCACAGCCATCCTTCACTTGAATTGTTATTTTTTCATATTCTAATGTGCCTTCTTTGCCGCATTCACACGCGAGAAGTAGTTTCCATGACTGCTGTTGATTGACGTTCTGTATCGCAAAGGGTTTATGACCATTCATTCATTAAATGTCTTAATTCACTCATCTGTAAGTCAGCAGTCTTTAAGCACATCAAGTGCTGCCGCTTTCCTTGATGGTTAATCAATTTGGAAACCTTGGCGTGGACCAGAGTATTTGCATAACGTGTCTATTTTTGCTACACCTTCGTCAATTCGTCTGCTCTTAGTATTGGGCGACAGATGTACCTGAAAGAGATGAAGTCAAACCACGTCGACTTTAACCACGTGGCATGCTAAGGAATAATCTGCCAATCTCTCCCCCCCCCCCTTTATTCGATGAGCAAATGTTTGCTGACCTAGTTTCTGCCCTGTCCAAATTGGCAACCGCTAGTCACATTCATAAGCTTATTGATTACCCTTCTTATTTCCATCGCGATCTGTTTCCCATCAATGGCGTTTTCTTTAAAATCCTGTGTCGAGGGAAACTGGTACTCTTGACGTTTTGGTGGCTTCAGAGGGCACTGTTTGTAGCAAACCGTCTTTCTGTCGCTCAGATGTTCTCTGTAATACGCGTTCGCATTTACATTTGACCTCGCTAAAGAATTGCGCTCTCCGTTTCTCTCAAATACTGCGCACAATCGATTTTGTTTGCCAAAGTTCACGTAATCATTCATTCCCTGAACTCTACTGAGGTTCAAACAAATCAATGTAAATACGCACATATTCGCGTCAGTTGTCGAAGTCGTTAAGATGATAACGCTATTGTCAACACGTAAATTGAAAAAAGGAACTAAATGCCGCCTAAGACGACACTCGTTTGCACATCCAGACTGAGTCATTCCCTCCCCAATTTAGGAACAATTATTAATCATACTAGAATTAACCTAACTCTTCCTCCCTCCCCCCTTCCATTCCCAAATTCGAAATTTTCACAATTTCGTGTTTGTACATGTTTTTCGCTTGCCTATGTTTCAGTGATGCGACACGCCAGAATAGTGGCGGTCCCTCAATCTGTTTGCTTCTGTTTATTAAATTTCGAGACTACAAGATCTCGTTAGCTGGCCATGCGCGGTGTTTCAATGTATGTCCTAAGGGCCAGGGTAAATTTTTAAATGTCACCGCTGACCTGTAATCTGACTCAGCACACTGAGAAACTCCTTCTTGGATGAGTAAAAAATATGGGCGTGTTGAATTGTGAAAGGGCATTTGATATTATGACTGTCCAATTTAACTTATAAATTTTACGTTTTTTCTTTTCATTCCTGTAGTTGTTCGGCTGGGCCCAAGCGACGAGAAAGCATGCGATAGTCGACTAATGGATACGCCGGCCAAAGTTCCGGACACGGCCTTCAGCGCGAGCAGTGTCCGACAAAATTTGGCCGAATTTCGACCATTCCATGCTAGGCAAGTTTATTGTTGTTTGGTCTCACATTACCATTCTTCTTGCTGTTAATTGATCCACTTGCCCTCAAATTTGACCATTTTAATTAGTGATCTCAGTTTCATCATTGGTATTAATTGGACATGTTTTGACGACTTTAGACTTGGCAGCTTGTATGCTGGCAAGGATCAGTCGAGTGGCCAAGCGTGGTGTCCGAATAACACCGTCCAGTCGTCGATGAATGAATGGATTCAAGTGGATTTTCCCCAACTCACCATCATCTGCACAATATTTACCACTGGCCGAGGTGATGGAAATGTACGTTTTATTTTACGTTGTTTACTTGACTTATTTTTTTCCCTCCATATTGAGCTTTTTTAGTGTACACATCTAGTGGATGTACTTTTGATTGTTATTTCCTACTTTTATTATCCATGGAGAAGGTGAGATATTCAATTATTTGAATTAGAGGAATAGGCTATTAAGGATTGTGAAGGCTCAGTCGTTGTTTACTAATTGAGTTTTATCGATTGATTAATGCATTCAGGTTCGTCTGATCCGCTCAAATTACGTACGTGCTTAGGTAAACAAGTACTGTAAGTGAAATTATGAAACTTCTATTTAAAATTATCTGAAGCAAAGTGCTAGATTCCTTAGAGAGAGAGAGAGAGAGTCACTTGAACGTCTGATCCACGGTCGTCATGTGAGTCTGCTCTCACTATTTGAGTTTGAGATGGAAATTTCTTACAATAGTGTGAGAAGCGCATGTATTGTGTTTAGTTATGACGGCGAAGGCTTATGTCAGTTTCAAAGAGTTTAATGTTCAAATGTGGAGCATAGGCTTAAACAAATCGTAATTGAAATTTAGTTTAAGATTTTTGTGGACTTACATAGAATTTCATGCCTGCACCTATATAACAGGAGAACCTATCCATGTGCATTCTCCACCAAGGTATGCTCCACAATGCCTCTAGTCAGACGATTTCTTGGCCGTCGCTGCATCATTTAAGCCCCGCTTGGTGCTCATTTGTCACGATAGGTAGAAAGGGGGTTCCATCAGTTTTTTTCCACCCCATAACTATACCCAATATTGTAATAACATTGAGTAACTTTCACTTTAGTTGAGAAACTACTCTCCTTGCATTTTTCCTTATTATTTGGAGGTTTGCTCCAGATTGTTTGACTCGTTATATATTGTTGATTTCGTTGGAGTGAAGAAGGAAGTATTCACGAGATTTCTGGAGCTCTAGGGCCCTGAGGACAATAAATCAGGGGTCTTGGGTCGCTCTAGTTTTTCTACCAAAATTCCTCACCCTTGACTGAATTTGAGACCACTGTGTATACAATTTTCCTTTCTCATAAAAGGAGCAAAGTATTCTCAAAAGTGTGGGATATATTTCATAAATAATTCTACTATTCAGAACAAGTGCTCTGGAAACTCTTCAACCCCCTTTAACTCATTATACTAATGTTTGGGTTAGGTCTGTTAGAATAGTCTGATGTGGTTTTTCTGTTTACGAGACTTGTTTTAATGAACACAAGTATCTGTTTACTACAAACCCATCGTATTCATCGCTGTATGTGGTTGATATACGGCTGCCAAAAACCTCAAACCGGTCAGCGAGGCAATTTCGAAATGCACTATTTCAATCCTGGCTAACTAATTTTCGACATTTCACTCTCTTAACACCCGCCTTTTTACTGTCTTGCTTTCACTAATGCTTTACTTTTTTCGTTGACATTGCCGAATTAACCACAATTCAACGCTGTCTACCAACTAACTGGTGTTGAATCCATTTACATCTATTACAATACCTAATCACGAGTACATTGAAGACTTATCGACTAATTATTTGCCTGCCTCAAGCTTGCCACGAATAGTTGGGGGGTTGGGTGGGGGTAGGGGGGGGATTCGTACCGTTAGTCGCTCGTACGTTTACTGAAAATCGATAATCAAAGCTAGTCTCATTTTGTCACATACACGAACATACTCATTGATTACCTTTCCCAAGATTATGTCCCCTTGCGATTGCGTCAAGTTAGATTTGGATCGTTTTATTGCTCCTTTGAAAATATCAATCCCTCTCTCTCCCTCCCTCACTCCCATTTCTCTTTCTCTAAGTAAGAAGACTATAATTTTTTTGGATCAAAATATCCCTTCTTTTAACGTTACGTTCACGTTGTTTACGCAAACTATAGACTTAAACTTGGGTCAGAAATGTCATTCTCTGGTGTTGTCGGAAAAGGCCTCCTTTGGACCACCCCAAATATACGATCGAAGATAGAACTCTGTTTATTTGTTTATAGTGATTCAAATAATTAAATTTATATTTACCATCCATTTCTTACTTCTAGGTTGAGGAATATATGCCATATTTCATTCTACATTATCAACGCGAAGATGGTGGACCGTGGCACGAGCATACTACACGGGATTCTGAGAGGGTGAGTGCCTTTCTCCCTTTTTATCGATTTTCGCACTTTTATCCTTCTTCTCCCCCTCCTAGTTCAATTTCCTTCTCGAGTTTTGTGCTTTTCCTGCATGATATTTGCACCTTAAGCTAATTTGAATTTGAAATGAACTAAGTGGGGACGACTTCCTTTATTAGATTAGTGAGGATGTGTTGGATGCGGAAACGGGGGTAATTAATGTTTCTTTTTCCTCTGTCTAGGTGATTCAAGGCAACATAGATCCTCGCAATACAGCCCGACACACTTTCGATCCAGTTGTAATCGCTCGACGAATTCGAATTTACCCTTACAGTGCCAAATCTCAGCACCCCGTCTGTCTGCGGTTCGCTCTCAAAGGCTGTCCTTTTCCTGGTCAATATTAACGACTTTATTTATCTCACTTTTCACTTCTTAGAAGTTAATAATAATGACATTATTTTCTCTTATTAATTTTAGATGGAATAACTGAGTATGTGGCTACCGAGGGTAGTAGGGGGCCTCTAGGCAATGATCGTTATCAGCATTTTGATTTCCGGGATCGAACTAATGACGCAAATAAGGCATTGGGTCCTCGAGGTGCTCCTGGTGGATTGGGGAAACTGGTTGACAATGAGGCTCACCTTGGCAACGTCACCCACGATTTGTCATCACCTAAACATCATTTTGTTGGTTGGGAAAGGTCTCGAAGTGGTCCTGTGCGCATTGATTTCAAATTCGACAAGCGTAAGGCCGCTAAATTTCTTATAATTGCATCTGTTTAGTGATGGTAAAATGTCGTCCCGCCACTAATTAGCATATTTTGCTTTGTTTTCTCGCATTGCCTGATTTAAATTCAAGTCGTTTTTGCTTCAGTCCGCAATTTCTCGCGTCTCCTCATCTTCACGTATGATTCGCCACGACTGCGAATTGGTCTTGCTAATTATACCGTTATCGATTTCATCCGGGATGCGGAGCTGGCATCTACTACTCAAGAGACCCAAATAACTCTTCCATTAAATCCGTCCGACAAAGTCGACACATGGGATCGCACCGATCTCTCATGGAGAGAGGCACTTCATCGAGCTTCCAGCAGCCGTGTTACCGTCTTTCGAAACCCCCGTTGGGATGGTGCTGTGATACTGAGTATCCCACTTCAAGGTCACGTCGCCCAGGAAGTTTCCTTACAACTTTTCTATTCCAATGAGTGGTTGCTCATTTCTGAGATTCAATTCATATCTGGTGAGTTTCCTTCAAGTAAATTTCGACTCCAGTATCGGCGTCATAATAATTTTTCCCATTTTCAGAACCCTATGTATCGATAACATCCCAGCCCTCTTCCTCAGCCCAACAACGTGAAATAGATGATGTAATCGATAATCCAGAAATTCGATTTCCTGAAAGTTTCGAACCTGTCGAGAATGAAGTTCATCCATTCCCTCCTGATAGGGCTCAACAAGGAATCACGACTGCCACAGTTTCTACTGATTCCACTGATAGCGATAGCGGTGAGTTCAAACTCTGTGTTTGCGTTCGCAATATGCCCCCCCCCCTCTAAGGGACTGCGTTTATCATACGTGAAAATTAGTTAGTACACACAAGATTAAAATTTACAATTTTTATATTATAGTACTGTACTAGTTGAGATATCATTGAAAATCCTTAACTAATAAGAACGGCATTAGAGTATTAGACATTTTAAGCACATTTTGTGTTTAAAATTTGGGCCATTCAGTATTTAATTTTATTAATTTAATTTATTTATTATTTAATTTAATTTGGTTGCTATCATTAGCCCTTTAGTTGACTTCAGTCTTCACAGAGGGGAAGGAACATCAAAGTGTAAAAAATTCAACAGGGGGGGGGGAAACAGAAGAGTGTATCAAAGACGAAGGTAGATAAGGTGGAAAAAGGTGGCATGAGTACTGTGAAAGTAGTCGAATAGGACATGCAGTGGGGTCATGGTAGTTTGAAGTCAACTGTCAGGTAATAGACTTTTTTGCCGTATGAGTATACGTTACCCAGGGTGCACCACGTGGATGTAAGTCGATATATATATAGGCATAACATTAAGATTTGAACATTTCAACCTTTCTCTTGGTCTGGGTACAGCCGATTAAGGTCGAATTATTTTTGCACGCCCTATTTCAATCAAAGCAGACAAGTCGCATGAAAAAACTTCTGTCCAATCGCGGTTGTTATTTTTTGTGTATGTGCGCTTACATACACTCTATAACTAGCATTTTTGTAATTTTTTTCACTAAATGGAAAGTTATGTTTGGAATGTTACAGTCCACCAACCTCTCCATCTCTCTCTCTCGAATTTAATAATTGGCAGGGTATAAAGTTGTCACCCTT